CAAAGCCGAATGACGGCTACAGCGCAGTTGTCCAGTTCTGGGAGTGGGTCATATGATGTCCCCCCAGGACACGCCCTCCCGCACTCCCCCAGTGGCGCGCACCCGGCGATTTCTGTAATCACTGTACCCTATGGATACAGCTGATCACATAATGTGGTGAAAGGCCAATCACAGTGGCCTTTTACTACGTGATCAGCTGTGTCCAATGATGCCATTGATCACAAAGTAAATACAGTTGCCGGTTATCGGCAGCACTTTCCTCACACTGTCACAGCGTGAGGAAAGTGCTGCCGATAACTGGCAATTGTCACAGAACAGATCAGCACTGATCATCAGGGCACTGATGATCAGTGCCCAGCAGAGCCACCCATGACTGCTCTGAAAGATGAAAATTGGCCTGGGCACGAAGGGCGTAAAAGTGCCCAGTAGGTAAGTGGTTAAAAAAAGTGGGCTGCCATGTGATTAAACTGCAGTTCAGACTGATGCACGCTCATTAAAAGGGAATCTACCACAACAGCCTAGTCACCCCATCTATCCATCTACCACAAGAGCTCAGTCACCCTCATCTACAAGAGCTTAATCATTCCATCTACCACAAGAGCTTAATCACCCCATCTACCACAAGAGCTTAATCATTCCATCGACCACAAGAGCTTAATCATTCCATCGACCACAAGAACTCAACCACCCCATTTACTCATCTACCACAAGAGCTTAATCATTCCATCTACCACAAGAGCTTAATCATTCCATCTACCACAAGAGCTTAATTACCCCTACCACAAGAGCTTAATTACCCCATCTACCCATCTACCACAAGAGCTTAATTACCCCATCTACCCATCTACCACAAGAGCTTAATTACCCCATCTACCCATCTACCACAAGAACTCAACCACCCCATCTATCCATCTACCACAAGAGCTTAATCACCCCATCTACCCATCTACCACAAGAGCTTAATCACCCCATCTACCCATCTACCACAAGAGCTTCATCACCCCATCTACCCATCTACCACAAGAGCTTCATCACCCCATCTACCACAAGAACTCAACCTCCCCATCTACTACAAGAGCTTAATCATTCCATCTACCACAAGAGCTTAATCACCCCATCTATCCATCTACCACAAGAGCTTAATCACCACATCTATCCATCTACCACAAGAGCTTAATCACCACATGCATCACAAGAGTTTAATCATTCCATCTACCACAAGAGCTCAGTCACCCTCATCTACAAGAGCTTAATCATTCCATCTACCACAAGAGCGTAATCACCCCATCTACCACAAGAGCTTAATCATTCCATCGACCACAAGAACTCAACCACCCCATTTACTCATCTACCACAAGAGCTTAATCATTCCATCTATCCATCTACCACAAGAGCTTAATCATTCCATCTACCACAAGAGCTTAATCATTCCATCTACCACAAGAGCTTAATTACCCCATCTACAACAAGAGCTTAATTACCCCATCTACCCATCTACCACAAGAACTCAACCACCCCATCTATCCATCTACCACAAGAGCTTAATCACCCCATCTACCCATCTACCACAAGAGCTTAATCACCCCATCTACCCATCTACCACAAGAGCTTCATCACCCCATCTACCCATCTACCACAAGAACTCAACCTCCCCATCTACCCATCTACTACAAGAGCTTAATCATTCCATCTACCACAGGAGCTTAATCACCCCATCTATCCATCTACCACAGGAGCTTAATCACCCCATCTATCCATCTACCACAGGAGCTTAATCACCCCATCTATCCATCTACCACAAGAGCTTAATCACCACATCTATCCATCTACCACAAGAGCTTAATCACCCCATGCATCACAAGAGTTTAATCATTCCATCTACCACAAGAACTCAACCACCCATCTATCCATCTACCACAAGAGCTTAATCACCCCATCTGTCCATCTACCACAAGAACTTAATCACCCCATCTATCCATCTACTACAAGAACTTAATCATTCCATCTACCACAAGAGCTTAGTCACCCCATCTACCCATCTACCACAAGAGCTTAATCACCCCATCTACCCATCTACCACAAGAGCTTAATCACCCCATCTACCCATCTACCACAAGAGCTTAATCACCCCATCTACCCATCTACCACAAGAACTCAACCTCCCCATCTACCCATCTACTACAAGAGCTTAATCATTCCATCTACCACAGGAGCTTAATCACCCCATCTATCCATCTACCACAGGAGCTTAATCACCCCATCTATCCATCTACCACAAGAGCTTAGTCACCCCATCTATCACTAGAGCTTAATCATTCCATCTACCCAACTAGCACAGGAGCTTAATCACCCCATCTGCCACTAGAGCTTAATCACCCCATCTACCCATCTACAACTGCTTAATCACCCCATCTACCACAAGAGCTCAGTCACCCCATCTATCCATCTACCACAAGGGCTTAGTCACCCCATCTAGACAGATATGTAACATTTCAGGCCCTATATAATAAACTCTTCCTTCCCTCCTCTGCAGAACGTGGAGGTGTCAGTGTGGGTGACGGTCCTGGCAGTGATCTGGCTTCACGCCACATGTCTGGATCAGAGAGATGAGTGGGAGTTGCTGGAGGGGAAGGCCGTCTCCTGGGTCAGGGCTAAAGCAGGTAAGTGTTTGAGTGTGAACTGCAGTACCATCACTAACCAATCAGAATCTGCCTTTTGACAATATGACTCCCGTACAGAAAATTCTAATTTGTTTCTACAGTGACATCACTTTGAGAGATTTTTCCCTTTTAGTTACTAATCCTGTTTTTTTTTCTATGTAAATGGTTCTTCATTAGCCCGAAGTCAGGAGTACAAATACAATTAGTAGTGCAATCATGCAACCAAAATTATTTGCAATTTATCAAAGCCCACCATACATGGATCGAATCTTGGCTAGTTCAGCAGGGACCAGGCCAGGCGCAGACTGACCATTTGGGCACTCGGGCACTGCCCGAGGGCCCAGGGTCAGTAGGGGGCCCCATGAGATGCCCCTGCTAAACACACAGGCTTTTTTGGGTGTGATTTGAGTGTTGGCAAGGACACCATGATTTCCTATTGCCCGGGGGCCCCATGAGTTGTCAGTCCGCCCCTGGACCAGGCCAAGATTCAATCCATCTATAGGCAGGCTGATTGTACCCAAGTCAATCCATTGATCGACTTGGGTACAACCAGCCTGCTGGCTTTTTAGCATGCAATCGCTCCCTGCTAGTCTCTAGAATTTAACATTGTGTTCTGTCGGTGGAGAAAGCTCCCTGCTCCATCCAGGATGATCAAAGGGTTAAATGTGTGCCTAACCAGTGTTTGCGGGTACTGTGAGGTGCCTTCACTAAGGGATGTGACTGTTTGTATTCCCTGTTTTGCAGGGAAACCAAAACCAGCACATGCCCACTGACAGGACAGAGATCTGTATTGTTTACATTAACAGAGTTCTGCCCTGTCTTCCACCCTGCCAGTCAGCGGGTAACAGTGGTCAATTATTGCCCACTAATCGGCTTGTGCTGTGACTAATCACAGCACAGCTATCACGTACCTGGTGATGGAGGCCAATGGAGGCAGGGCTTCCCTTGGGCTAAGTTCTGGACTCCCCTGAGAGTGGGACAGCGGGAGTCAGGCCCAAAGTTGCACAGGTTGTCTGTAGGAGTGCTGGTTGGTGGTCTACTGAGAAGCACAGCTGGTGCACGGAGATAGGTCTGCAGACAGGAGGCGCCTGTGCGAGGTATGCAAGCCCTTCTAGAATTTAGGTGTTTACTGGTAGTCGGTTCAAGCCAAGGTCAGGTACCAGGTGGGAATCAGAGCAGACGTAGTCAGATGGGATAGCTGAGGTCATACCCAGAGGAGCGAGCGAGAGAGAATATCTGTAAGCCAAGCCAAGGTCAGATCAGTGGTAAAGCAGAGTAGACGGGTCCAGGAGCAAGCCGAGTCAGTAACCAGAAATCACGGGTCAACGTCACAGGGCACGGGGAGCTAGAGATCATCCAGCAACTTGAGGAAGTGATGAGCCTCCTTATAAAGGCTGTCTGGCACCAGACTGAGGCTGGTGTGGCCTCCTGCGGCCATGCAGAGTACTGGCAGACATGCCAGTTCTTCCAGAACTTCTGCTGTGGACAGGACCCTGACAACAGCTGGTGAGCTGGGGGCCCTACCCAAAAGTGCCGGATCACATACTAGATACTTGATCTGGCACAGAAGAGCTGCTCTGCCACCGTACTCCAACAGGAGGTGGTCAGCAAGAGATTAATCAGATCACCATCATTGTAGTGGGGAGGGGACTGACATGAGGAGTCCTCTAACACAGAGTCCCAGTGCAGAAGAAGACCTGATAAGTCCGCAATGGGGAAAAGATCGAACGCAAGTAATACTGATCCCTTTTCCCTCCTCTTGCCTTGTTTTAGGATCGGTTTTCACATTACAGGTCCTCTTTAAGGCAGCCCATTAACTTCTAGTGGTCAACACGTGAAGCACTTCCCTGTGGCGCACCATGGTGCACAATTATTGTGCTGCATTTCCCTCTCTCTCCCAGTAGAGGGTACACACGAGCACCTAAAAAGAAAGCTCTCTTTAAAACAGCCCCCGCCCCCTTAGGCTGTACAACTGGAGGGCAAGTGGTTAAAAAATAAAATGCTGTTTATAAGGTGAGTCTTTCCTATTGGTCCAGGGTTCACCTTAAACACATAGTTCACCTTTTCCCAAAAACCTCCTACGCAGGTAAGGGGCATCTGTAGATAAAAACAAACTGTGCAGCCTTCACCAAAGTTGAATAACGCCCTACTTATAGGTGTCGGCCATTTGCGTACCTCCTGAAGCCTGACTGGAATACTCCCAGAGATGGTAACATCCCGGCATGTCTTGTCGCTAGGACGTTGCTAAGACACTCCCAGCTGTTACTGCTCACCCCCACCGTCAAAAGGAGTGAGCCCTTTCTCTAATACAAAACCCCTCACATGCATTTGATATAGTAGCTCTGAGCCCAGCGTCTGTGAGCTCACACCTGTGATGGTAGGGATCAGGGGTGGACTGACAACTCATGGGCCCCCCTGGGCAATAGGGGATCATGGGGCCCCTGTGCCCAAGCCCACACTCAAACCACACCCAAAAAAAGTCTATGAAAGGTACCAGGGGTATCTCATGGGGCCCCCTAGTGACCCCAGGCCCTCGGGCAGTGCCCGAGTACCCAAATAGTCAGTCCGCCCCTGGTAGGGATGAGCAGCAACAGCTGGGAGTGTCTTAGCAACAGCCTGGTAACAAGACAGAGCAGGAAGATGCGATCTCTGGGAGTTTTTTTCAGTCAGGCTTCGGAAGGTACGTTTATTACCTACACCTAGTGCAAGGACATTATTCAAGAATTTTTCAAGGCTGTCGGCGGGGTGATCCTCATTTTTTCTATCAAAGAAGGAAAGATGGGAGCCGCGTCCCAAGTAACTCCAGACACTTGGCGGCATAGATGAGGATGGACGCCGCTCAAACCGGATCCCAGGACTCCGAGAAGAACAGGATGGCGTCAGCCATCACTCTGGCCACACCCTCTGACCCTCCGCCCATAGGGGGCTTGGTCACAGAGGCTTGGCGAATGAACAGCCCAAGATCTACTGTATGTATAGCATCATTGCTTTTTCCTTTTTTCATTCTTTATTTTCATTTTTAATTTTTACTCATTTCATTTTTACTTTCACTTTTATTCTTTTTCTCAATCTCTTTAAATTCCAGTTGTTTAATTTTTTTATTTTCATGTTTAAACACACTTTTTTCCTATGTCAAACCAATGCTTGTTCAAGACTTCTTCATTCTTTCTTCATTACCAGGGGCGGACTGACCATTTGGAAACTCGGGCACTACCCGAGGGCCCGGGGTCAGTAGGGGACCCCATGAGATGCCCGTGGTGCCTTTTTCATAGGCTTTTTTGAGTTTGGGCAAGGACACGGGGGCCCCATGATCCCCTATTGAGGGCCCAGGGTCAGTAGGGGGCCCCATGAGATGCCCCTGGTGCCTTTTTCATAGGCTTTTTTGAGTTTGGGCAAGGACACAGGGGCCCCATGATCCCCTATTGAGGGCCCAGGGTCAGTAGGGGGCCCCATGAGATGCCCCTGGTGCCTTTTTCATAGGCTTTTTTGAGTTTGGGCAAGGACACAGGGGCCCCATGATCCCCTATTGAGGGTCCGGGTCAGTAGGGAGCCCCATGAGATGCCCCTGGTGCCTTTTTCATAGGCTTTTTTGAGTTTGGGCAAGGACACAGGGGCCCCATGATCCCCTATTGCCCGGGGGCCCCATGAGTTGTCAGTCCGCCCCTGTTCATTACCCTTTCCTCACATCACCTGTGTACACTCCGGCTTCCACGGCCAATGATGCTATACATAGCTCTTGGGCTGTTCCTTCACCAAGCCTCTGTGACCAAGCCCCCTATGGGCGGGGTGAAATGCGTCAGAGGGCGTGGCCATCCTACTACATCCCATTCTTCTCTGACTCCTGGGGTTCGGTTTGAGCGATGTCCATTCTCATCCATAAGCAAATTATTCAACTTTGGTCAAAGTTGCCGTTTCTTATCTACAAACATATCACAATATTATTATTATGTTGAAATATGCCTTTGATCATTCTCAAAAGACCATTGAAATAATATTTTTAACCACTTCCCATCCTGCCCATGTAGATAAATGGCCAGACAGGAGCGCTGCCGAAGCGGGTGGACGTTTCTTCCGCGGCACCACGATCGGACGCAGCGGAACACAGATCGCTGTACGGGACCTCTGTGTGAGGTCCCGATTCACGTGATCACTGATTGGCCAATTAGTGGTCACATGAACAGTAGCAAACAAGATGTCACTTCCTGACATTGCTTAATACTTGTGAAATCTGTGAATGATCACAGAAATCACATGGTACAGGACTATTCACAACAGCCTGACATCATTGCTTACTACGTGTTAAATCTGTGATGGATCACAGAGATCATATGGTACAGGGATATTCACAACAGCCTGACATCATTGCTTACTACCTGGGTGAAATCTGTGAATGATCACAGAGATCACATGGTACAAGGCTATTCCCAACAGCCTTGTACCATGTGACAAGCTGTGACCAATCACAGCTCACACAGTATTTCTCAATGGCTGCAGGAATGCAGGAGAAATGATTGCTTTTACAGCCTTTATGGATGTAAAAAAATGGATCAGTGTAAAAAAATAAAAATAAAATCTTCATTGCCCCAAACAAGTAGTACAGTGTCGCTATAGTGACACTGTACTGCTAGGGTGACGGTATGTTAAAAAGAAAATAATAATATTAAAATATAAAATAAAAATGTAAAAAAAAAATTTTTTAAATGATAATTTTTAGTTATAAACTAATTTGGGGTTTTTGTTTTGTTTTTTTTTTACTAAAAAGATAAATGAATACATTTTGGCCAAGATTTATGAAAAAGATTATTTATTTGCAAAATTATATAAGAAAAACACTTTTTTTTTTTTTTTTTTTTTTCAAAATTTTTGGACTTTTTCATTTATATCACAAAAAAATAAAAATCCCAGCGGTGAATAAATACCACCAAAATAAAGCTTTATCTGTCTCAAACAAATGCTAAAAAATTCATATGGGTACAGTGTTGCATGATCGCGCAATTGTCATTCAAAGTGTGATAGCGCTGAAAGCTGAAAATTGGCCTGGACTGGAAGGGGGTGAAAGTGTCCGGACTGGAAGGGGGTGAAAGTGTCCGGACTGGAAGGGGGGGAAGTGTCTGGACTGGAAGGGGGGGGGAAGTGTCTGGACTGGAAGGGGGGGAAAGTGTCCGGACTGGAAGGGGGTGAAAGCGTCCGGACTGGAAGGGGGGGAAAGTGTCCGGACTGGAAGGGGGTGAAAGTGTCCGGACTGGAAGGGGGGGGGAAGTGTCTGGACTGGAAGGGGGTGAAAGTGTCCGGACTGGAAGGGGGGGAAAGTGTCCGGACTGGAAGGGGGTGAACGTGTCCGGACTGGAAGGGGGGGAAAGTGTCCGGACTGGAAGGGGGGGAACGTGTCCGGGCTGGAAGGGGGGGAACGTGTCCGGGCTGGAAGGGAAGGGGGGGAACGTGTCCGGACTGGAGGGGGGGGGGGTGGTGGGGGGGGGGGGGGGGGGGAAGTGTCCGGACTGGAAGGGGGGGGGGAAGTGTCCGGACTGGAAGGGGGGGGGGGAAGTGTCCGGACTGGAAGGGGGGGGGGGGAAGTGTCCGGACTGGAAGGGGGGGAAAGTGTCCGGACTGGAAGGGGGGGGGGAAGTGTCCGGACTTGAAGTGATTAATTTACCCCCCTCCCCCATTACACGGCTCCCCGGAATAGATAAAGATGACATTTGATGTGTCCTCAGGTTCCTCTCTGGGTGAGTTGGTCAGAGCCGGGAACAAGCTGCTGAAATCCTCCGTGGACCCCAAAGCGTTCGGCCTGTAAGAGGAGGCGTCTGGAGGAACCAAGATGGCGGAAGGCTGCTCCTGTTGGATTCTGGAACCTTCCAGGAATGTCGCTGCATCTCCATTTATTGCCTGACTAGTTTTGTGCCTTTGTACTCCGCTCCTGTATCTGTGAGCGATACCAAAGTTAGATGTGCTGCGATTACTATATAGGGAATAATAATTGTTTGCACTATTACAGGTCCTCGTTCTTTCCTACTCTGTGTAATACTTTTGTTGCACTAATGTTTATTGGAATAAAGCACTTTGTTTTCATTATCTGTATGTTGTAATAATTAAAGGGGGATTCCTTTTAACTGAAAGACCTCTCAGGGAACTAATGGAGGCTCAGGTCTTCTACGGTCCTCGGTCTCCCTAATAATCGGAGATCTGTCCTCCGCTGCTGAGCATTTTGTTTCAGACATAGCAGTGGTCTCCAAACCACGGCCTGTGCAGTAGTGGCCCTTTGATTGCCTTTATGCAGCCCTTGGGGCACTATTCATTCCACTGATAACAGTTGAGCATTATTCCTCCCATTGACACCAAGGATGGGCATGATTCTTTCCATTGACACCAATGATGGGGCACTATTCCTTCCACTGACACCAATGATGGGGCACTATTCCTCCCACTGACACCAATGATGGGGCACTATTCCTCCCACTGATACCAATGATGGGGCACTATTCCTCCCATTGACACCAATGATGGGGCACTATTCCTCCCATTGACACCAATGATGGGGCACTATTCCTCCCATTGACACCAATGATGGGGCACTATTCCTCCCATTGACACCAATGATGGGGCACTATTCCTCCCACTGACACCAATGATGGGGCCCTATGGCACTATTCCTCCCAATAAGACCAAGGATGAGCACAATTCCTCCCACTGACACCAATGATGAGGCCCTAGTTCTTTCACTGACACCAATAATGGTGAATTATTCCTTCCAATGACATGAATAGTGGGGTACTATACCTTTGACTGACACCAACAATGGGGGACTATCCCTTCCACTGACACCAATGATGATGTCATTGCAAGGAATACTGCCCCATCATTGGTGTCGGTGGAAAGGATAGTCCCCCATTGTTGGTGTCAGTCAAAGGCATAGTGCCACATTATTCGTGTCATTGGAAGGAATAGTTCACCATTATTGGTGTCAGTGGAAGGGCTAGGGCCTCATCATTGGTGTCAATGGAAGGAATAGTGCCCCATCATTGGTGTCAATGGAAAGAATCATGCCAATCCTTGGTGTCAATGGAAGGAATTGTGCCCCATCATTGGTGTCAACAGAACGAATAGTGTACAATCCTTGGTGTCAGTGCAAGGAATACTGCCCCAAGGATTGGACACTATTCTTTCCATTGACACCAATGATGGGGCACAATTCCTTCCATTGATACCAATGATGGGGCACTATTCCTTCCATTGACACCAAGGATGGGCACAATTCCTTCAATTGACACCAATGATGAGGCCCTAGTCCTTCCACTGACACCAATAATGGTGAACTATTCCTTCCAATGACACTAATAATGGGGCACTATGCCTTTGACTGACACCAACAATGGGGGACTTTCCCTTCCAC